ACTGGTATAGATCTCCAATAAAAGTGAAATTAGAAGTGAGTTTTGGTTCTGATATCATCCAAATCTGTCCTTTTCAAGCTAATGAGATTCCAGATAAATATAGAATGCAGCACATGTTAACTTTCTGTTACTGTAACAAAGTACCTAGGGTGATGTATTTGTAGTAAGAAAAGGTTTATTTTGACTCACAGTTTTTGGGATTTCAGTCCATGATAGGTTGACCCATTCTTTGGGCCTATGGTGAGGCAGCACATCAGAAGGTATGTGGGAACACAACTATTTACTTCATGGCTGGGAGGCAAAAGAGAGACAGAGGAAGGAACTGAGATGCCACTGACCTTTCAAGGGCATAACTCCCAGGGGCCTAACTTCCGCTCCTCAGGTCCCACCTCTTAAAGATTCCAGTAACTCCTGAAGGCCATGGGACGAGGGCCTGGGGCTGATCCTTTAACGCATGGACCTTTGGGGGGACATTTATGGTCCCAGCTTTGATACTGTGTGTCAAGTCTGAAAGCTGAAGGGTGGAAGGGCTCACTCCTAGGTTCCTGAGGCTCAACGAGGGAAGCCTTTTGTCGCTGTCAGCTCTGCATGTGCAGGCGCAGCTGCAGGTTGTCATGCAGAGTGGTCACATCATTGTGGACTGATGACAGGAAGACAGGAGGTCCCCAGGCTGTGGGAGCTTCGGGACAATCGAGGATTCTTGGTGTTGCCTCATCTGTCATGATTACGTGTCAGTGCTTTAGGAGATCAGTGGTGGGCCGCCTCCAGGTAGGACCGCACCCCTTCCCCTGTAATGCAGGGCAAATTCCATAGAGACGGGGATTTGGCCCAGATGGTTCACCGCTGTCTCCTCGGCCTCTGGTGTTGCACCTGGGACACTCAGGACAGAGAATAGTGTCAGAACTCATCCAGAGGCCCAGCAACTGTGTCAGCCATGTTTAATAAATTAAAATACATGTTTTCGGGCCCTACCCTTATACTTAATGGAAGATCTGACTCCCTTTGACTTACACGTTACCAGTGAATGTGTTTGCTGATGTTTCCAGTTAACCTTCTGCATTTTCCTTGTGTGTGCCAGGTGTTCATAGTGAATGTAGTACAGCCACACGGTGTCACAGTCCTGGTCACACTCAGAGGCCCCTTTGCTCTTGGAAGCCCAGCACGGATGGTTTTGGGGTACTGCTTGCCATATTTCCAAAATAAATGGAATGGAGTTACTTTGGGTATGAGGTGTAGCATTTTTGAGCTACTTTTAACAGGAATTTCTAAGCCTGGAAAAGTAGAATGAACTGTTTGGAACATTCTTGGATTAAAGAAAAGCAGTCCACATGAATGTATTCTCGATGCATTCCAATGTCATTAATCCTGATGAGCTCATCCTGGATTAAGGCATAGCATTACTTTTCTTTGATTTAAGTTTGTATTAACTGCTTCTGTACCATGACAGGACAATATGACTATAGGAAGAACCCCTAGAGGCAGGTTGTTAAAGTCATGCTCAACAAATGAAACAGGAGAGCGTCCTTCCCTGAAGGACTCCAAGGGGCTTTCACTTATATGACTAGTATCTTTTGGTATTTATCACTCCAACGTTAAAATTTAGAACAATCTAAAATAATTGTGTATAAGTGCTCCTAAAATAATAATAAAAACCCGTATTATGTTAATATGAATAATATTTTCATAAAATGATGATTTTCCAAAACAAAAAAGTCTAATGAGAAAGTGTGGCATCATTTTGGCTATTTATAAATCTCTTTAATGTTGAGCTTAATTTGCTTAATGTTTAGCTATAATCTGCATTCAGTCAGTTTTGATGTGTTGTTTTGCCGGAGAATATGAAGAAACTGGCCTCCCAGGTGTGTGCTTGGAAATGGAGAATTTCTTTAACAGCCACTCCACTGATATATTTTTATTTCTGAGGATTGAACGCAGGGCCGTAGAGCACTCTGTTGCACCCCCAACTCAGATTAACCTTTTTAGATACACCAAAATTCAAAAGGCAGTAGTTGGTTCCTTTATGGAATCTGAAACTAGATTAAATTTTTATACACGTATTTTTGGTACTTTGAATTAGTCTTTTACCTATACACAGTTGTTGTTTTTTTTAAAGCTGAATTATTCTTTCATTAAATTACAGAAATCTTCGAAATGTTGGCACATTTCAGTATGCATTTGTTTTTCTTTATCACTTTTGTTAATGTTACCCCTAGTGTCAATAGAAAATCTTGTTTTTAAAGATGTTTAAATCTCTTTGGAATACAGCTTTTCCACAATTCTGCTATTTATTTTTCTTGTAAGCTCACATTATATCTTTGGCTACACATATCAGTTCTCTCTCCTAGATTCTGCCCTTTTTATTCCAGAATTATCTGCTTGAAAGACAAATCCCCAGCATGGATCTTGGTTTCTACTCCTCAAGCTCAGATGTGCAAAGGATCTTTATTGTGAGGCGTTTATGGGATAAGGGACAGGGAAATTCCCATCCTGGTGGTGGAGGGAGGAGCGTTTTTTTTTTAAAGTAGGCAGTTTAGTTTCTGGGCTATTCTTCTTGGTTCCCTTCTCTTCTTGAAAAGAAATGGGACCTGTGCCTGGGGCCAGCACCTGCATGACGCTTTTAGATGGGGATTGCTATTTTTCTGATAGGCAGTTTCTTCTCACATCTATTCATTGGAGCTGAGGACAGGAGGGGATATTTACACACTCTTCTTTAGAACATAGAATACCGAAAGGCGTGGGTTGTTAAAGAATCAGGAAAAGAGCAGTTTGGAAGAGAAGTAGCTCTTTTGATGTGCTTTTTTCCTGGAGGCAGATCTGTTACAGGGGTCCTGGAGGAGAATTCTGGTCCCTGCTTTTCCCTGCCTGATGTACTCAGGCTATCTGCACTCCCTGTGTTCTGGTTTCCTTATGCTGAGTCTTACTTAGGTCACTTCCCTGACCCTGGCTGGATTGCTCCCTCTTCCTTCCTGTAGGATGTCACTAGCACATCCAGGAAAACGTCCCTTCAGGCCAGCTGCCAAGCACCTCATTTCCTGTGACCCCTGAGCGTGTTCTGGGGTCTGGCATACGCACAGGATGTGAACATCTGTAAGAGCCTCTACATCATTATGGTCAGTTCCTACTCTCTGGAACGTTTCTTCCCTCCCTTCTATGTTTGGTAAACTGTCCTGTGAGTGTCACCTTACTGTAAGCTGTCCCTGGGTCTCCTGACACTTTCTGCTAAGGGCAGTGCTGCCATGTGGATCCCCACATTGGTACCCACACCACAGCAGCTGATCTGGAGCTCTGGGAACCTGAACTGTGGAACTGACCTCATTAGCCTTCGTTTCCCTCAGTGCTGTCATGGCACAAAATAGAGTATCAGAAACAGCACTAGGTTGACACGTAGGCACTGTAGATCATGGGCCATGTTTACATTCAGCTGTGGCAGATAGAAACACTGAAAGACACCCAGAAGTTGGAGGCAGAGTTATTTTACATTGACAGGCACTAATGGGGATCATTCCCAAAATATCTGATCCTAATCTGGTCATCTAGGACTTTTATATGATGTAAACACACGAAGTACAAAGGCAAGGCAGAACAGCCTGGCCGTTCCTCTGATTAGTTTGAAGGGTGAGATCATCGGTTACAAGGCTAGATTAATGATCATTAGTTGTAGTCAGACATCCTGTATGTTCAGCTATGCTCTCTTGGATACAAGGCTCAGTAATTACAAAGCCATGAAGCAGTTACAGAGCTCAGCAGTTCCAAAAGAACAAAGATTTTAAAAAAACAATTCCTCTTGTAGAGTTTTTCCCTTCAATACTGTTGTATGAACAAATGCTTAGCTTCTTTGGGGTGATAATGGCATCACAGTTATGCAGGCTGGTCACAGTTTTAGGAGTTACTGAAATACTTAGAGGTCATATATCATAATGGTGATAACTCACTGGTCACAGAGTTCTTGCAGAAAATGGGTATTTATGTAAGGAAAGGTAGTTATGGCAAAGTGTTAAATACTGAAAAATGCAGATGAAGAATTTCGTTCAACTTTTCTGTAGATTGGGCATTTTTCAAAGTAGCAAGTGTAGAGAAATGAAATATCCGTGTAGAGGAAGGTCCAGGAAGCATTGGTGGGGACGGAACAGCTTCCCATTATTGGAATTGTGGTCGGCTGCTGTGAAAGTGTAATTCTGGTTGTTAATTAGCACCATTCTGTGTGTTTTTGGTGTAATGAGAATCCTCTCTGGGGTCACACTAGGTGCAGATCATACTCAGAGAGCTTAATTATATTTCCTCCAGCTCCTGGATGAGTGCAGGAGTCTGCAAGAGTGAATCATAATGTTTTGAGAATAAAGGGCTTTCAGTGCCATGCATCTGGTAGGGTCTTTCCGGCATGCTCTTATATTAAGTTGCACCAGTCACTTCGCTGGCCTCTGATTCCTTCTGGGGCTGCAGGCCACTCTCCAGGAACCAGGGGCTGTTTTCTGTCATCAGACTGCTGGTATTGAGGTCAGCTGATACCTCTGAGAGACGTGCCACATGACCACTCATTCCATTTGAGTGAAGAAGCCATTCAAGGTTTTCTACCCCTGCTGACTTTGCTTCTCAATGCCAGTATCAGGAGAGGATGCACTGCCCATTCTTGACCCAAGCAGGGGCCTCAGCTCATGGACATTCACTTCTGTCCCCTAGAGTTGTGGAAGCAGTCTTTGTGACACTTTAATGTCAGCCTCTTAGAAAGAGGTTAATCCGCTGAGGTAAGATGGTGGAATCTCTGGTTAGGAGATCTTCTAGTCTGGTTTTTCATCTCCTTCCTGATGTCCCCCATGGCTCCCCTCATGCCTGGTCAGTGTCTGGGTGGGACCCTGTCACTTCCCTCATCTTCACTTGGGTTTATATCTGGGCACCCTGCCTGCTATGAGGTTGAGCTGAATCATTCCTTCCACTGCCAGCCCACTCTCGGAAGTTCCGGGAACAAAACAAAATGTGCTTGACAGTTGTTCCTTGCCTTCCAGGAGCCTGAAGTCCCATTGGAGCCCTCCCAAGACATCGTGGTTTCCAGGCCCAGGAGACCTTCTGTGAGAAGGAGTTGAGTCCTCACGTCCTAGCCCAGGTACAGCCTGTCTGTCAGTACCCCAACAGCTGCTAAAATGTTACTCATTTTAACCTTAAGTTAACTGAGAAGAGTAGCCTTCCCTCATCTTGCCCCACATCCTCTCCTGTCCTGTCCTGTAATTTCCTGTCTTTTCCCTCCAGTGCTGGGGATGGAATCCTAGGCCTCGGGCATAGCAGGCAAGGGCTCACAAAGGGGCCACACCCTCAGCTTTGACTTCTTTTTAAAATTTTCAGGGGCAGTTTTTTCTCAGACGCATTAAATTCCCCCATCCCCTGAAATTCTCTCAAAATCAACAAAACCCAGAGGCGCCTTTCACTTCAGCACCTCATACATTCCTCCATTTCCTTCAGACAACTTGATATCCATTGGCTGGCAGGGCCTCCTGGAGGCCTGGTCACCAGGGCGTGCTGTGGGGACACTGTCCACCTGAAGCTCTCCCCACTCATCCCTGGGCGGATGCCTGGGCAGCCCTGTGTCACTCTGCTCTGGCCTTGGCCTCCTCTGTGCGGACAGTGCCGAGATGCTTGGTGCCCTGTTGACTCCTGGAGCTTTTACATTTCTCACAGTCAAAGGCTGGCTCCCATTTCTGGTCCTTCCTTGCTGTCTTGCTTCTATTCCTCTTCCTCTTCTCTTTCACTTTCACCCTTTCACATGAACATTTTGCAGGAGTTTATTCTTGAGGTTGGGGGCTGCAACACGTGCTTTAGGTCATGGTGTTTCAGCCTTTGGAGCTGAGATTGAGGCGGGCCATGGAAACTGTGGCCCATAGCACGGGCTCCGGTTTCACCTGATTTTTATGGTTGGGCTTGGCCTAAGATACAGTAAAAAGGTTTCACTGTGAAAATACTTTTAAAAACTATTGCTCTAGTTTTAGACTTTAAGTCTTTGGACTTAGGACTTTCTGGGGACGCAGCAGGCTGCCTTGAGTTGAGAATTAAGGAGCAAGGAGGGCCCCCTCCCCTGTAAGCTCCAGCTTCCTGGGGGGAGGATTACCCTATACATCAGCATAGGCTATACAACACCCATAGGCTGTTGCAACCTGGTAAATGTCAGAGACAAAGGTGCCGACTTTCCTGGTGTGCTTTCTGGAAGACAGTGGGTAACATTAGATCCTCACTGACAGGAGCTGGGAGGATGGCCTGTGTAGACCAGAGCTATCTCGTGCTGGGCCGTGTAGGCCTTTTCGGTTCCTTCTCACTTCAGGTGTTTTTACTGAGTAAATTTGCTTCAATTTGAGTTCATTCTGTGTACTTCTTCCTCCTGTACAAGTCATGTGTGTTGCTGCTGTCTTAAAAGACCAGTTGAGAGCATCTTTTTTGTTAGTTATCACAGATACTGAGCATTGATACCCAAAGGAAAAGCCTGAGTCAGGTATTTCTGTGTCCAGTGGTGCCAAGCGTGTAGGCGAGGCCCTTGGGAGGTCCTCGGGCAGATCCCAATTGGTGTGTGAATGGGGGGATTCACGGCCTGATCATCAGGGCAGTTCACCCCCGTGACCTTCATCCTTCCCTGGGAGAAAAGGTACAGAGCAGGTGACAGAGGGGAAAGTAGCTTGTGCGTCTCCGGGAGGGAGGCCTCACGGCCCTCACCACGCTTGTCTATCCTGTCTTCTCCGGCTGTGAGGGCGGGGGGCTTTTCTGTTCTGTCCCCGCTGTTTCTCAACGCCTAGAAGGAGGCAGAGCATGTAGCTGGTGCACAAGAAACACAACTTGTGCATCTAGATGGTTGCAAATGGTTCCCTGCCTCCTCCCTTCCCAGACCCCAAGCCCATGAGGGCACAGACAACTGTGACTCATTTTCTGTGGCTCCTGTGAGTCCTAGAACAGTAGCCCCAGGTAGAGACACCATTTTGTTTGTTTTTGTTTTGTTTGTTTTTTTCTTTAAAGGACAATAGCCATTTGATATATGCCCTTCAAGTCATTTAGGCAAGGTTAAGGATTGACTCTATCTTTGAAGGAGAGAACCTTAAGGAACATTTGGAGCTCTGGCTTTTTGCTCTGTGATTGTTTAACAAGAGAATGAATTTAAACTCACCGTTCTTGCATGTGAGTGTGTGGACTGGGTATTAGTCTGTGACTTTGTATGCCTTAAAACAGCCACATCTCTCAGTTCCTGTGGGTCGAGAGTCAGCACAGCTCAGCTGGGCTTGTTTTGGAGCCCATGAGGGCTGGTGATCAGGACTTAGTTTTTATGTGGAGGCTCAAGTAGGGGAGAAACCTGCTTCCAAGCCCCCTCATGGATTGGCCAATCTTGTTTCCTTGTGGTGTAGGTCTGAGGCTGACCAGACTAACCTGGAGACCACCTCCAGCTCACAGAGGACTCCAGTGGCCTGTCCCATGGGGGTTTTCCCAGCTTGGCTGCTTGCATCATCAAGCCAGGAAGGAGCAGCTGCCAATGTGTGGAGCCTTACATAAGGCCGCCTAACAATGAGAGCTATGTCCTGTCACCTTTGCCATGTTCTCTGGACCCCAGGCAAGCTGCAGGCCCTGCCCACACAGGGGTCACAGGAGCTGGGGTTCTGGGCCACTTCAGTGACTGGCCAATGCAGGTCACCTTTCCTGGTCCCTGCAGAGGGAAGATTGAAAAGTGAATTCCACCAGGTGGTGATACCCTTGGGTAATGGAGCTGTGTTAGACTTGATTAGCATCCCGGCCTTAATGTCTTTACCTACTTGGTCCTCTGGTGCCGGCTGGTCTTTTATCAGGAAGTCCAACATTCTGACACTTACTGTCCTTCAAGTCATTGAGCATTTACTTCCTGATTCTTTGAAGGAATCTCAAGCCAGTGGAATCACATTTTTCCTCTGAATTTGAGGCTATCCTGTTCCTATCTTGTAGGATGCCTGCTGCACATATATTGCACAAAGAGGAAAGCTCCTGGCTGGGAGAAGAAGGCAGGTAGTTGTTAAAGTCTAGACAGGCAAGTCTGCTGGCCTGTGCCAGCCGGGCTGTGACATTTCTTTCAGATTATAAATGTTTTCCTTCTGCAGCGAGTGTCTGAGATTTTGGCCACCAGTGTAGTATGATTGTGACTAGGGCAAGAAGACCTACCATAAAATGTGGCATTTCCTGCTTGGGGATTGTTTGTGCTCAACATATACTGAGGAGATAATTCCCATGGTAACCAGAGGGGTGTGTGTGTGTGTGTGTGTGTGTGTGTGTGTGTGTGTGTCCGTGCCTTGGGGCTCTTTGAGGGAAAAGCAGGGTTGGGAACAAATGGCAGGTACAAATGGTAGACTAAGGCGTTTGCGTGTGCCAGGGTGCTTTGTTAGATTAAACTGTCTTGTCCAAAGGCACACACACAGATCTGTCACTAAGGAGAGCCCAGGCCTCAGGCAATTGGAAGTCCGTGGTCCGAGTTTTGCTTCCAGTGTCTTTCACAAGATGATCAGATTAATTATCTCAAGTAATTATTTTGTTGATATGCTTAGTTTAAAAGTTTTACTTGTAAGTAGAGGTACAAGTCCTTCAGTTGGTCATACAGTACTCTCTTAAGGGGCCATTTCACCTAGCCCTGTTGAACAGTTTGTCCCTCTGTCTGCGGCTCTCTTCCCCGCATCCCTCAGCCCCTTCCTCCCTCTGTAGCCACTAGCTTCTGATTAGCCTGCGAGCCTTCCTTGGAATCTGTTCTGGAGTACATACATTGCCATCTCCAGTACAGACTTGCCTAGGAGATAGTTGGCTTTTCAGTTCATTTCCTCCACTTGAGGGAGAATCTAAACACACAGCTAGGAAGACCTGATGCTGGGTCCGTCATTACAGATCCTTGACGCTTTTTAGGTCTAATAAAAAATGATTAAGTAGTGACAATTTCATACGATTAACCTGATCCCATAAAAATATTATTTAATGTTTCACTCGTTAATATGTGGCAGTGACTTACGGCATTTCCCAGCAGTGCTGTGACTGGGGTGTGAGCTGGGGTACTTCATGTAGATGGCAGCATTTTGTCATGCCTTTCTGGACCCACTCGGTGAATTACTTTCATTTTCCTTTTAATTTTGGAAATTTCCAAACAGACACAAATAGAGAGAAAAGCACAGTGAAATTCCATGTACCAGGAACTCCTGATTATCAGCATCTCCTAGGTGGACTCTTGAGATGGGCAGCGGGGCACATGTTAGAGGAGCTCTGCCCTCCGCGAGCATGAACATTATCCACATATCTGCACACAGTGCCAGGCGTCTCCCACGTGCCAGTGGAAAACACCACAGAGAGACACAAATAATCTTTACTCACATCCTGTTGGCTTGAGCAGAGGAAACATCTCTTGGGTTTTAGCTCGTGTTCGTGAAGATACACGTGATAATTCTCCCTCTGCTTTCTTATTTTCATATCATTTTCTAATGTGGGCAAACAGCATTGCAAAGTATAGTTTAGTTGACAAACTTGGATGCTAACTGTGGCAAAGCCTGGATGAATAAAGACCCCAGTGACAAGAGCTGACAGGGATGGCTAACTCACTGATTATAATTGAGTTCTATTTATTTCTGTATCTACTTTTTAAGAAAGTCTCACTGTGATACCCAGACTAATCTTGAACTGCTGGGCTCAAGTGGTCCTCTAAGTGTGCACCTGGGTGTGCCTGGGAGTTCAAAGAAAAAAAACTAGGAGTTATGGCCACCAATGGGGGTGGTAACGATGGATCCTCACATTTGAAGAAGATCCGAAGCCTGCTAATATGTCGTCTTGTGTAACCTTTGTAAGTCCCCCGCAGTGTTCAGATGGGGAAACTGACATTTCTAAGCACTGTGACTGGAGACAGTGAGTGGGGGTCTCACTGTGACTGGGTAGCTGGAGTGTTGGCTACTCCAGTGGAGCAGGAAAGACAGTCTGATGGGGTGAGGTGGGTGGAAAGAGAGCTCAGTCCACAGCAGAAGTTATCTGTTAAGAAAGGCTGTAAATGTGGCCTTGGCACCGAGACTGTGCTGCCTGGGTTAGATTGTAATCTAACTAGCATCTTCCTACTAATATATTCATTTATAGAAAGGTATTCTT